GTCCCCTCTGTGTGCTGACCCTGAGGAAATACCTCCCAGAAGATTTTACCTCAGTGATGCTGGTCTCTTTACTTACAGCTGATTTTTCAGCCCCAGCTAACCAGCATCAATTGTCCCAGTAAAGCAAAGGTTTTGCTTTAGGTTCTGGTCTCTTCTTAATCACAGCTGATTTCCCCAGCTGACCAGAACCCACAGATTCTCAATCCAAAATCTCACATGAACATCCCTGATAGTCTCCGCTTCCCTTTGAAGCTTCACAAGCCAGGCCTCCATCGTCTACAACTCTTTCAGCATAACTGTTCCAAGCTCCACTGCAACAAACTCTGAGCACGCAATGACTTTTCCAGCCCAAAGTTCCAAATACTTCCACAGTCCTTCCAAAAACACCAAGGTCAGGTCTGTCACAGCAATATTCCACTCTGTGGTACCAATTTCTGTCTTAGTTTGTTTTTCATTGCTGTGACAAAATACTCTGAGCACTACCAACTTGGGGAGGAAAGGGTTTATTCAACTTACAACTCCCAGGTCGCAGCTCATCAGGGAGCCCGAGGTAGGAACTCAGGGCAGGAACCTGGAAGCAGGAGCTGGAGCACAGGCCATGGAGGAACGCTGCTTACTGGCTTGCTCCCCTGGTCCCTGCTCAGCCTGCTTTCTTATGCAACACAGGCCCACCTGCCCAGGGGTGGCACCACCCACAGTGGGCTGAGTCCTCCCACATCACTCATCAAGAAGATGCCCCTCAGACATGGCCACAGGCCAGTCCAATAGAGGAAATTCCCCAATTGAGGCTCCCTCAACCCAGGGGTGTCAAGTTGACACTAAAGGTATCCAGCACAACATCCTAGATCCAAACAAAAATGTGTTGGCCTAAGTTTCAGTGACCCCTTCCACCTCCTGTTTCTCTTTCCTCTCCTACCTTGCTTCTTCTTAGCACCACTCAGGGTCAGGTCCTGTGTGCACTCTGCCCTGTCCCCAGGTCTCTGAAGTCTCAACACATGAGCAGCTTTGGGAATCCTTGGCTTTCTGCACACATGGCTCTAGGGCACTGAGCTAATGTCCACCTGTGTGCAGCTCCAAGCTGAGTGTTCAGGGTGGTCTCCTGGGTCGTGTTTTCTGTGCCCTGACTCATCTTCCCAGCACACTGGGTTATATCCACTTTCATATTAGGTGCCCTGGGGCAGTCTCGAGCTCTTGAAGCAGGGGTCTGACCCCAGACCACAACTTTGATTTAAAATTCTCTCCTTATCTTTCAGATCTTAGGCATGGCTTTTTCCATGACTCTGTTCCAGCACATCCACCGGACGGGTAAAAAGTATGATGCCTGAGCTACTGGCAGCACCTGGCCCCACCTGGACACTGCGTGCCAGAGGAGGGCATCTGAACCTTGTGTCACCTGCCATGCTCTCCTACTGCCACCCTGCCCCACCTGCCAGCCTGCCAGCCACCTTGGTTTTGGACCTCTTGGGGGAGTCAGGGAGGAGCATCATGCAGAGACCTTGGGGCTCAGGCGCCTGGATTTCTGCACCTGCCTATTTGCCAAAGACGCCAGGGTGGGCAGAGTATCAAGGAGGAAGCTCTTGCACTGAAGGGTTTCTGCCTCTGCCCTTCCTCATACTGACACTTGTCCTTGCGTGGGGTGGAGTCTGCCCCACTGAGGCCACTGCCGTCCGTGGCTGCCCAGCCGAAGAGCCAGCAGGAGTGCAGTCTGGCACCACCAGGCCACTGGAGCACCCTGCCCAGGCTTTTTATACTTACAGTGTAACTTTTTTATTTTATTCTGATTACGATTATTCAGGAATATTATCTCTCAGATAAGTTTAGGGTTAGCTTTCTGATTTATAACTTTTTATTGTGTTGATTTCCTTATCAGTTTGAGTTTCCTTTTCCTATGGGTGGGGATAGGTAGGGAGAGAAGACCTCTATCTGCTTTCAGTCGGGGCATAGCACTGTGCAACACCTGTGAGGCTGAAGGGTGAGAAGCAGCAGGCTTTCTCCACAACTCAACTCTAGGGAGGAGGGTGCAGCCAGGATGTGGGGCCCTTCCAGGCCTAGCGATCATGGAGAGGGGCTGGAAGAGGCAGGTCGAATGCAGAGGGTGATGCCAGCATGATGGGCCATCCTGCTCAGGGGTGATAGGTTGGTGCCTAAACCAGGAAGGCCATAGCAGTAGGGGATGCTTAGGGGTAGGAGAAGTGCTTTGTTAGAGGTGTGGCCAGAGCAGTCTGTACCACTTCCTCCTCCTCCGTCCTCTGTTGGCTTGGTGACTTCCCTACCACCCCATGGGCATTCTGCACCCATGTGGGCTCCAAAGCCCTGGTCACGCTCACACATTCCTGATGCAGACATGTAGACAGATACCTCTGGTTCAGACCCTGCTCACGTTCACCCTGCTCAGGGCAGGGGATGCAGCCATGTTCAGCTGCTCAGAGGGTGGTAGAGGCTGCATGAATACCAGCGGGGGAGGAACTAGCACCCATGACTGTTCCCACCAGACTCACTCAGCTGTTGACTGTCCTGCTGGGAGGAAGAGAAAGGGCCATGTGGGCCCCAGGACCCTCCGTCCTTCTTAGGATCCATTGCTGTCCCTAATGGTATCACATCCCATATAATTCCAAAGAGATGAGATACAGAAAACCTGTGAAGTCAGGCTCACCTTGCCACAACAGTATAGCCAGAAAGCAGCCCACATTGTGAACACCCAGAGCTGGATACCAGAAATGATAGGCAGCTATAGCAACAGTTTTCAGCTATAGCAACAAGTCTGCCATGCTTGGCTAATGTTCTGTAGTAAAGTAAAGCCAAGGGTCTGTGGGACCGGCTCAGTAGCTCCCTGGGATCCAGTGTGCGTCACCCACAGGGCTTCGCGTGGTAGTAGCTTTCTTCATGCCCTTTGACTCCTGCCAAGTCTCCCAGCTCTTCTCTGACCTCCGTTTTCTGTCCACTACCAGAGCTGGTTGTGCTGCCCAGACAACTTGTAGCCCCTCTGACCACCTTAAGTAACAGACGAGGCAGGACCAGGAGTGTGGAGCTTGCACTGTATCCAGGATTCAAGTTTGGGGGGTGAGAGAGGAGGATAGGATGGTGTCAGCAAGTGGGGCAGAAAAGCAGCCAGTTCCTTGAGATGGAATTATTGGAGGAATGACAACCACCCCCACACCCACCCCCTGGACCTCCAAGATGCAGAATGTAGGCAGACCCAGAAGACACTCAGCAAACAAATGTGGGACCTGTTACACGCATTTCTGTGGATGGGGTGGGATGGGTTTGTTGATACCTATCAATGCAATCTTTAACTTTTGTCAGCATCAACAGCAAAAACCTGTACATAGGGAGACACGCAACCTCCCCACCATCTCATGCTTCTAGAATGCTTAAGGGTTGTGCTGGTTCCAAGTCTTTGCTGAAGTTCCCCATCCTCACTAGCCTCACCTTATCTGTTAGCAGAGACAGTTCACAGGTCTGGAAGATCACACCAAGTGATGCCGGTAGAGGTAGTCAGTGCCTCTCAGCTGTGTGTTCACTGGGTACAATTGCTGTGTGACTTCCCTTACACTTTGTCTAAGTCAGAGCTAGTTCTGCCGGGTCCCAGACAAGCAACTTACAGACCTGACTCAGAAAGTCCTTTTGGCTTTGCAGGTGACTTCAAGGGAATTCCTAACATAGATGTGGCATTTCTCCACAGCTGACTAGCAGAGGGCCTCAGTGGGCAGGGCGTGGAAACTGCTCTCAGGAGATTGACAGGTGTCTGGGTGCAAGTCTCCTTGTACCTCTGCGCCCTCTGATCTGGAATGGTGCCACCCTGTCTCCCTGCCAGCCTGGGCCTGCGCCTCAGCTGTCCCCCTTGCGCATGTTCTGGTTTGACATGGAATTGGGTGGCCAAGCCTTCAAACAGCTCAAGTGGATGGAATTGATTGTCCCTTCTTCTCCGGCCCCCTGGCCACTCTCTGGTAGAGGTGCTAACTAGCAGGGACATGGCACAGGATGAGAGCTGGGTGCCAGGTGCTTGGGATCTGTTCTTTGCCCCTCAGCCCCTTCATCTGGTGACCCCTCTCATGTTCCTGTTCTCTCATTTCCCTTCTCTCCTCCATGGTGGTGGTGGGGGCAGTCCTGGTCTCCCCTTCCTGAGTGAGCACTCTTGAGGAGTGGGGCCTTTGGACCTCCATCTGCCTTCTGCCTGGAGAGCACGCTTGCTTATTGGTTTTGAATGCACTTTCTGCTTGCAATGCCTTGTCTGCATTTCCTTCATCCTGGTCCTACTTTACCCAACACCATGTTTTTAGCATGTTTTTAAATAAAAACTGATAATGTGTCAAAAGCACAAACAGCCTGTCTCTCAGTTGTGTGTTTTCTCCCCCAGCCATGATCGGGACCTGTTTTGTGTAGTGGTTGATGGGATGGACCAAGAGATCAGATGGTCCCCCATGGTAGGAGCCTCATCTCTTTCCCATAGCTCGGGTTCCAGATCTGCTAGGGTGGCTGGATCTCTCTCCCCTCTGTGAGGTTCTGAGGAATCTGACACACACACACTTTGGTGACAGATACTGGCTTGATCAGGGCCGAGTCCAGTGGCCTGAGCCTTCTGTATGAGAAGCCATCTCTCCGTTTTGGTGGCTGGTCTTCCACAAATGGCAAGGCTGTCAGTGGAGGTGCCGCCATGCCCCAATCTCTCTGATGTTCCTGAAGGTTCCTTTGAGCCCGTTGTCTCTTCTAGGAGTGTGAAGGTCATGTATCGTCACTCAGCCCAGGTAGCATCCTTCCAGGTAGCTCTAGACAGCCTCCAAGAAAGCCTGGAAAACAAGTCTTTGAGGATGGTCAAGTGAGGGAGGCAGGAGCATCACGGTGGGTCTTGCTGCCTCCTTGCTGTTGGAGTTCACTGTTACCTCAGTTGGGTTCTGGCTTTGGATTTCCTAAGCTGTTGCAATTACAGTGACAAGATGCAGATGAGGACAGAACAGAGTTTTCCTTGTCCTGGCTCACCACTGCTCCTGTCTCCAGGGTGGAGACAGGGATGCAATGAACATGCGCTGGAGTCTGGAGGCAGTCAGAGGTGGAGATGGAGCAGCTCCAAACCCCTCCACATATGCAACTGTGTCTCCCTCCTACAAGGAAGTGGTGGGTGGACACAGAATTGCCCCAAAGCATCACCCTACAGCAGCTGGCTTCCAAAGTCTCCAGGACTTTATCCTGAGTTTTGGGTGACTTTCTTTAAATGATCCAGCTACTATGGGTCCCTGAGATTCTCCCCAGATTTATCCAGAGCTGTCTAGTCACCTATTGGTTAAGGCTGGGGACAGGTTATAGCCCCTCCCCATCTGTTGAGAGTCCGATGGGTTGTAGGAATTGGCCAGGTAGCCGTATCATGTCTCCCCACTTGCTACTGTGTCTGCTCCCAGGGTGTGGTCACACCTACTGGTTCCTGCCAAGACAGTGTGCTGCCTGCCGGGGACTGATAGGGTAGTGGGTCACAAATACTCCTTTGTTAGTACCTTGGTCAAATGAGCTAAGCCAGATCCAGCTAGGTGGGAAAGGGGGCTTTTGGGATCTTCTATTGACAGGGCTAGAGTTACCAGGATGGTGACTTTGTGGGAGGGAGTGGCTCAGATCACTCTGGGACCCCTCCATCGCTCTCCCAACCCCCCTGTAATGTGAGCAAATGACCTCCCGTCTTTGCTCAGTGAAGGCTAGAAAGAACAGCTCAGGTGCAGTAGCCAAACAGGCCAGGCTGCCAGACTGGGGGCAGCAGATAAGATATCCAGTCATTCGCAGACTTAGTGAACACAAACTTATACCCAGCCCCTACTACAGGGGTAAATAACACAAACCCATCATCTACTACAGGGGTGGAGGACACAACACCCAGCCCCTGTGCCCACAAGGATCTAGTACAGTTTTAGTGGGGCCTCAGGAGAGGCCACGTGACTACACCTTGGTGCTGGTAAACAGTCTCAGGTTCCAGGTGGCCATGGGGGACAGGCATTGACCCCAATTTGCCCAGGAAGAGGTCCTTTAGCAAAGATACCCTTGAGGCTAATAAAGGAATTGTTAACCTGGCCAAGAGTGCAAGAGAGTGGCTGAGCACTGGGGGTGGAGCAGGAGTGTTTGGAGAGAGGACCTCCTCCCCTCGCACAGCCTCATGAACCAGATCAAGAGCACAAACTTCCATCCAGGAGTGATGAGAGTCCCTGAGGTCTGGGCACAAATGAGAGGTGCTCAGCTGTGGCCTTTTGTGAAATCCCTGGCTATAGTGTGGAGTATGGTCAGAGTGGACAGTCTGGCTGAAGGGATTTAGATGAGATGACAGAACTACACAGGAAAGTCAACAAGCCATGGCGGCTAATCATCTGAGAGCGAAGCATTCCTGCCATTTACACATCACACACAACCTGGAGAGGCAAGAGACTGGTTTCACTAATAGATGGATGACTAGTTATTTTCTTGTGACCTGACAAGAAGAAGCTTAAAGGAGGAAGGGCAGAGTGTGAGGCAGCTGGTCACACTGCATCTGTGCAGTGATGAAGGAGAGAGTGATGAATGCTGATGTTCAGCTCAATTTCTCCTTTTAATTCGGTCCAGGACCCCAAGCCATGGAATAATGCCATGTCTTCTCAGTTTAACCCTCACAGACATGCCCAGAGGTGTGTTTCTATGGCGATTCTAAAGACTTAAATGTTTTTTTTATTTGCTGTTTTTATTTTACACATGAGTGTATTGCCTGCATGTATATAAACGCATCTGTGCCAGGCAATGCCTGCAGAGGCCAGAAGAGAACAACAAATTCCCCTGGAACTGGAGTTATGGATAGTTATTAGCTGCCATGTGGGTACTGGGATTTGAACCTGGGTCCTCGGCAAGAGCCGTCAGTGTTCTTAACCACTGAGTCATCTCTCCAGCCCCTCTATGGTGATTCTAAATCCAGTCAAATTGACAATGAAAATTAAGCATCACAATGGGGGACTACATTGTCCAGCCCTGAGCACTGGAGGTGGTAGAGGCCCTCTCTCTGTACTGAGCTTCACAGCTTACAAAATGCTCCTGTAATCATTATTCAAGATCTTTCTGACCTAAAACATCTCCATGATTTGTGTGCCCAAATGGCACCATTAGGATGTAGCACAGAGGGCAGCAGTGTGATGGTTTTGGAACTGGGAGAGTTGGATTCACTTCCTGCTCTGTTCTTGGTCTTTATGAGCGCCTCAGCCAATCTCTGAACTTGTCTTGATTTTGACGTCTGCAAAGTGAGGAAAATAGCCATCATACGTATCTGTGAGGATGCAATAAAAGACTGTGTGCACTACAGAGTATATGAGTATATACATGTACCATGTGTGTGCTGTGCCCACAGAGGACAGAAGAGGGCATCAGATTCCCTGGAACTCAAGTTATGGATGGTTGTTAGCTGCCACATGGATGCTGGGAAGTGAATTCGGGTCCTCTGCAAGAGCAGTCTGTACTGTTAACTACTAAACTATCTTTCCACTCCCAAACTTCTCTTTTATTGTACAATGAATATACACTATTAAACAAATAGAGTAGGTACAATGGCATCCAGGTTTTTCCTGGGCCAGTGTAGATACTGGGTCCCCAAACTAAAGGCAGGCCCCTAAAGAAGAGCATCACCCAGGCTGAAAGCCAGGGACACAGGAGGATGATGTGGAGAGGGGAGTAGGTGCTTTTAGGAAGAAAGCAGAACAGAGCTCAGTGAACAGGCATCCCTGGGCTTCAGCTCTGCCCCAGCTGGCTCAGCACCACCACTCAATAATCCATGGGAGCCAGATTAAATAAATGTCATTTGGACACAAAAATATTGGCATTAAGCTCATCCCTTCTTCAAGCATTCAGCAAGATTGGGAGGTTATCGATTTGGCTATCTGGGTCTTGCTGAGTTTAATGACAGCCATGTGCTGGCTGGCTGTCTCCTTAAGCTAACAACAACAACAACAAAAAAAAAAATAGCAAAGCTCCACCCAGCCTGCAGGACCAGCTCTCCTGCCTGAACCTTCCTCCACAAAATTATCCCCTTTGTGCCCCAGAGGCCAACAGAGAGCTGAGAGCCCATGGGATGAACCTTGGGGCAGGGGTTTTTCCCCTTGGTGGCCCAGGCACAAAGTAGAGAGGTGACTTGGCTTAGTGCTCCTGCCTGGGCCTTATGGTTGGTATGTGTTACCTAGGCAAGCTTAAAAAAAAAAAAAGTAGATTTTTTTTTTTTTTTTTTTTTTTTTTCTGATTATAGAGCTCTGAAACTTGCATGGGCTAACGTCCAGTGTGCAGCCCTGCACTATGTGGTCAAAATGAATGGCCGTCTATCCTCTGTAGCTTAACGACACTAGCAAATCCTGCCCTGATATGCTACAATGAATTCCTGGAATTCCAAAATATCCTCAATACTTATCTTTTTCCATGCCAAGACCCTCCCTCCCCATTCCTGAAGGACTCAGCCACATTATCACTTGGCCATGCCGGTCAAGCATGCTGAATATGCTCTTTGGGGGCTGGAGACATGGCTCAGCAGTTAAGAGCACTGGCTGCTCTTGCAGAGAACTCAGATTGGGTTTCTAGCCTCCACATGGTAGCTAACAACTATTCATAATTCTAGTTCCAGGAGATCTGATGCTCTCTTCTGGCTTCTGTAGGCATCGCATGCACATGGTGCATTTGCATGCACGCAGGTCAGGCATGCACATAGAATAAAAACGAATATGATCTCTGGTTCCCAACTTAGAGCTTTCTAAAGTAGAATTAGAGATTTATAAGTCATTCTCTGTATTTGAAAAGTCCAATAGGGGGCTGTGGATGTGGCTCAGTGGTAAAGTGCTTGCCTAGCACGTGGGGGACCTGAGAGTTCCATCCCCCATACTACAAAAACAAAACACATAGACCAGTGGCACTTATCATCATTCCTGGTTGTGGGAACCTTAAACCTCTTCACCCTGGCTGGTTGTTATGGTTTGAATCTTCAGTGTCTCCCACACGTTCATGATTTGAATGCTTGGTCCCCAGTCTGTGGTATAATTTTGAAGATGGTGGAGCCTTTAGAAGGTGGAGCCTGGCTAGAAGGTGCTCATGAGAAATTAGCCTTTGAAGGTCATGCCCACCCCTGGTTTCAGCCTGAGCGCTCTGCTTCTTGGTCCACTGCCATGTGAACAAGCCACTACCACATACTTCTGCCACAGACAAGAGCTATGCTAACATGTCTTCCCTGTGATGATAGCCTGAAACCCCCTGAAGCTGTGATCCAAAACAAACTTCTCCTTCTTATAGAGCTCTGAAACTTGCATGGGCTAACGTCCAGTGTGCAGCCCTGCACTATGTGGTCAAAATGAATGGCCGTCTATCCTCTGTAGCTTAACGACACTAGCAAATCCTGCCCTGATATGCTACAATGAATTCCTGGAATTCCAAAATATCCTCAATACTTATCTTTTTCCATGCCAAGACCCTCCCTCCCCATTCCTGAAGGACTCAGCCACATTATCACTTGGCCATGCCGGTCAAGCATGCTGAATATGCTCTTTGGGGGCTGGAGACATGGCTCAGCAGTTAAGAGCACTGGCTGCTCTTGCAGAGAACTCAGATTGGGTTTCTAGCCTCCACATGGTAGCTAACAACTATTCATAATTCTAGTTCCAGGAGATCTGATGCTCTCTTCTGGCTTCTGTAGGCATCGCATGCACATGGTGCATTTGCATGCACGCAGGTCAGGCATGCACATAGAATAAAAACGAATATGATCTCTGGTTCCCAACTTAGAGCTTTCTAAAGTAGAATTAGAGATTTATAAGTCATTCTCTGTATTTGAAAAGTCCAATAGGGGGCTGTGGATGTGGCTCAGTGGTAAAGTGCTTGCCTAGCACGTGGGGGACCTGAGAGTTCCATCCCCCATACTACAAAAACAAAACACATAGACCAGTGGCACTTATCATCATTCCTGGTTGTGGGAACCTTAAACCTCTTCACCCTGGCTGGTTGTTATGGTTTGAATCTTCAGTGTCTCCCACACGTTCATGATTTGAATGCTTGGTCCCCAGTCTGTGGTATAATTTTGAAGATGGTGGAGCCTTTAGAAGGTGGAGCCTGGCTAGAAGGTGCTCATGAGAAATTAGCCTTTGAAGGTCATGCCCACCCCTGGTTTCAGCCTGAGCGCTCTGCTTCTTGGTCCACTGCCATGTGAACAAGCCACTACCACATACTTCTGCCACAGACAAGAGCTATGCTAACATGTCTTCCCTGTGATGATAGCCTGAAACCCCCTGAAGCTGTGATCCAAAACAAACTTCTCCTTCCTTAAGTTGTTTCTGTCAGGTATTTTGTTACAGTGATGAGAAAATTAATACACTGGCTTTGTGCAGTAACCGTGTGTCCTAGTTTGTTTCTCCAATGCTGTGACAAAATACTCTGACCAATACTAACTTGGGGAGGAAAGGATTTATCTTATCTTACATCTCCCGGGTCACAGTTCATCAGGAAGCCCAAGGTAGGAACTCAGGGCAGGAACCTGGAGGCAGGAGGTCATCGAGGAACGCTGCTTACTAACTTCTCCCCTGGCCCGTGCTCAGCTTGCATTCTTATGCAACATAAACCCACCTGCAGTGGGCTGGGCCCTCCCACATCATTCAACAATCAAGAAGATGCCCCACAGACATGGCCACAGGCCAGTCCAATGGAGGTTAATTCCCTAATTGTGGCTCCCTCAACCCAGGTGTGTCAAGTTGACACTAAAGCTATCCATCACACTGTGTTTGCACTTGGCTGATGGACAGGATGGATTCAAGAGTCACCAATGCCTAACACAAAGACTCTTCCTGGACACAGGGGAGTCATCTTCTTCCTTCTCGTCATTAAGGTTCCAATTCTAGGTAGAAATAGAGGAAAGGCAGTAGGGTCTTCCTGTGTATTTACAGTTAAGAAGGGAGTAAAAGCTGCCGCGTCCGTGTGCACCTTCTCCGCTACAACCTGTTAACCATGGTGGGCAGAGAGTGAGAACTGGCGTCAGCAGCCAGGACAACTCAGATCTCAGGGCTGTCATGAAATAGTGGTGTCTGCTGGAAATGAGTGGCACCCGACAGGCCAGCCTGCAGTCCCCAAGGGGGAACTTGACATTGTTGCCACAGCAGCGTCATGCTGCCCACCCACCTGACAATGCCTTTGTTGGCTGCCAGGGTCACCGAGACAGAGTCGTAATGACCAATAGTGCTGCTTGCTTGCAGAGGGCAAAAGCATGGAGTACCACTTAGCTTTCCCGGGGCATGTCTCTGCACTTGTGCACACACATATAGTGATAGATGTCCTCCAATAGGATGGAGGAGAGTGAATTATGCCCTAGATCAGGGCCATCTCCCTAGCACCCAAACTCCAAAGGGCTCTGCTGTGATTGCTCTTTGAACAAGTGAATCTTGACCAGGCCTTAGAGCTTCCCTGCAAGGTAGGTGCCCACGTGGGGACTTCCTCAGGTGGGCCAATCTGCATACACAGCAAGTGGTCAGGCCCCCCTCCAGTGCACACAAGTGAGTCCTCTCAAGGGCCTCTTGGGCCCTACCACTCCTCCAGTTCCTCAGTCTTGGGGTCTCACCAGACCTCAGTAAAATTTCCAGAAAGAATAGTGAATTAAAGAGGGTGTGTGCTTTATGTCAGAAAAGACAAAGCGTCTGCAGCCCTTCCTTCACCTCTGTACCAGGTGAGGCGGTGCCCTGACAAACAGCAAGACTGGTTTGTCCTTCTTTTATAATGTTTAAAATTACATTTAAAATTACATTTATTATACATTTATTTTTGCACATGCGTGTTGTATGTTGTATGGATGTGCCGGGACACTCATGTGGAGGTCACAGTTCTCTCCTTCTACACTGTGAGTTCTGGTGACTGAACTCAGTGTCAGGATTTGGCAACAAGTGCCTTTACCCACTGAACTATCTTGATGTCCCTTTTTTTTTAATTAAAAATTTTTGTTTCATTTTTTATCATTGTGTGTGCGTGTGTGATGTGAGTACAGGCACCCATGTGACACAGCACATGTGTGGTGAGAGAACACTGGAAAATAGGTTCTTTCCTTCCACAGTGGGTTCCAGGGATCAAACTCAGGTTGTTAGGCTTGAACAAGAGCATTTGCCCGCTGAGCCATCTTACTGGCTGTACTTTTTATTTTTTTGAGACAGGGTCTCACACCAGCTTGGACCCAGACTGGCCTCCTATTCACAGCAATCCTTCGGTCTCAGCCTTTGGGATGCTAGGATTACAGGTGTGCCCTGCTCAGGTTTAAGTCTTCACTGCCATACGAAGTCTCCATCTCTGAGTTAGGGGACAAATTGACGAGTGCAAGGTGGACAAACCCTATCAGAACAACTTAAGTAAGTGGTCTGGGGATAGGTGGCACTAGGTGCCTCAGAAGGACCCGGTGCCCTGACCTCTCCCCATACTCTCTGTCTTCTGCCGTCGTGTGGAGGGGCTGCCACTGCAGGGTGGGTGCACAAAGTGTTGGCCCACAAAGGAAGTGGCTTTGCCTCCTGAGAAACTGTTACTACACTGTCTGATCAAAGGCAAGAAGGTTTAAGCCGAACACATTTCAAGCACACTTGTTTCAACCGGGCTCTGGTTAGCAGCCCAGGGTGCTGGGGTAATGGCGCTCATGAGCAGGAGAGATTCTTCTAGATAAATCAATGTTGAGATGATTGAGTGAGGGGCAACAGGTCCCTGATGGCTGTGGTAGGGAAGCATGACCAGCAGTGGGGTCACAATGCATTTAAAGAGGGTTTAGGGTCTCTGTGGACATCCAGATCAGCAGAAGGTGCTCCTTAGTACAAATCCTTTATTATTGAGCCCACTGCCAGAGGCACTGGGCTTACACTGAGGTCAGTGGAGAGAGGCATGTTCACATTTAGAGTTTCACTCTAAGCAGTAGGCTAAGGCAACATCTCTCTAGAATATCTGATGATCCATGTCAGGGCCAGGTGGATCCAGGAGCCATCTGAACCCTAACACTGGGCTCCGGGAAAGAACTGGTGGCCCTGGCATGGGGCAGGAGCAGGTGTCATAGGTGTGTAGCAGGGGGGGAAAGGACATGGGAGGCCTGAAGTTCAGTGTTGAGGACGCTGCAAGTACAGGAAGTGGGGATAACAAGGAAGCAGCAGGATCACCTCATGGATGTGGGAGATAGGGGCTGGGGTGTGTAACTGGCGCCCTTCCAGAAAGAGGACTCATGCATCTGATCTACTGGCCTAAGTCATAGACTCAACAGGGCAGGTGTGTCAAGCATGCACAGCCAAGAGGGGACACCATGGAGGGCAGTGAACTGCTCAGAGTGGCTGGCTTCATCCTACCCTCTCTGTGGACCGAGAACACTCCAAGCAGAACTCAGACCTGAGCAAGTTTGATACTGGAAGGTAGACACACTTCATCCAATTGTCCTTGGAAGGTGAGTACTGCCCTGCGGCCACACACAAGACTGCTTTTCTGTTTAGGAGTCTAACCACCTTCTCTTGCCCCTTCCAATAGAGCCAGTGAACAGGGGACATTTTCAAGTCTGGTACAGGACTCACTGATCCAGTTTACAGCCTTCATCACAAAACCTTTAAGGGGGCCCAGAGTAGCAGATTCTGAGTTCAAAGTGGGTTGTTGGGTATGAGGGTCCCAGGGGCTTGTCACATTGACCTGTCATACCTGATCCTTAGTGTCACACAGGGCCTTTTGGATCTGAACCCTATGGCAAAGCAAAGGGAGAGCACTCAAGACAGAAGTCATCCTGAGTCCACTCTAGATCCCAGAAATAGTAGGTGCTAATGCAGGGGAGTGAGAGGGTTAGAAGGCAGAAGAGGGCCTTGCCTGACAGGGAAGCTCAGTATCACCAGCCAGAGCACCTCCTTGCCTGGTGTGGCTCTGGGAGTGGATGTAATCTGGGGTTCCCGCCTAACCTCCAGCATGAGGCAGGGAGAGGCATTCCTGCCCCGAACAATCATTTGCACACGGCGTGATTCACATCGGTATGGAAGCTGAGCACTAAGGGGCAGACCCTGCTCTTGTTGTAGCGGCTCTGAGTGTGGGCTGGGCCATTCCAAGGTGTTCTGGCCTCCTATCTTCTTCCTTAGTCTCTTCATGGGGCCTGGAGGTGAACCAGAAATAGACTAGACCCCTTCCCCAACTGTGAATGCCCAGGGCTCCTGGCATCAGGCATGATGGTCCTGTCCAGCTGGGAGCTGCTGAGGCTCTAATATATGGCAGTGCCACCTTAGACATTTTGTTCCTGAATGCCAACAGCTTGTTAGAGAGATGGAGAACTATGGGGGCTGAGCAGATGGGTTCCCAGACCACCCTTCTTTGGCTTCACCTGGCTGAAACCATGACAACAGTCATCACTTACCAGCGAGTATCCAACTTGGCCAAGCCTCAGTTTCCTCACTTACAGAATGGGGGCTAGAGTATCTCCCATTAGTATCACCATGAAATAACATATTAAAGACAACAAAGGGGTCCTCAATGAGCATTCCCCAAAGCCATGCCAGAGGTGTTCTGGGAGTTGGGGTATATTGCTGGGAAGGGAGGAAGGGGACAAATGGGTGCAGACAACGCATCACTTTATCAGAGGCCAAGGTTCACCCTTGTCCCCCAAACACTAGCCACTTGGGGGACTTGGGGACAAACTGTTCTCTTGAGGCTGCCTCTTTGAGCTTAGGGGAGGATGTCTCATGTCCTCAGGGTGAGGACGTGCTTGCTAGCCATAGCCACACTGAGTTCAGGGACCCCAGTGTGTCTTGTGTCCACCCAGGACTGAGGGTGACATTCTACAGGCATGTCCTTCACTCTCTCCAAGCAACTCAGACTGATCCAAGCAGGGACCTGTCCCAAGGGAGGAACAGGAAGAACCATCCTGGGAATGGATCTGATGGGTTGAGCTGGAAAGGAGTGACTTCTTTTGACTGAGTTCTCGGGGGGCAACCCCAAGTCCCTCTAGGCAGACGGCATAAGCCAGCCCAGGCTCCATGTAGCCCCCTGAGAATCCCAGAGTGGAGGAGGCCACCCAACCTGAGAGCCTGGTGTTCCCTCTGTTCACACAGCTACTTCCTGCTCTGAGGATGAGTTTTCAGGGCTGTGTTGGTGACAGCAACCAGTGGGCCTTAGGGCACCTATGTATGAGAACTTGTACTCTCTACCCTAAGATTGACTGGAAAGCTGGGTCAGATGGGAGGCTTCAGAGCAACAAGGTGCCACTGGTTCATGTGGGGGCAGAGGGTCGCCACTGTGGGGAGACGTACAGGACCTAAGGGGATGGGGCTGAAGCTGGATGTGGGGTCCTCGTGTGACAAGTTGCCCAAAGAAATAATTAGCTACTATCAACTCCTTATTTTCTAGAATTTTCTTTCTGTTCTCTCTTAGTGCTTGGCAAAGCTCCTCCTGAAAATTGTTTCATTCAGTGACTCAAGAGGACAGGTGGAGGGGATGGTGCTCTACCTTGGGTAGCAGGAAAGGGAGCAAAGAATACATAGTGGAAGGAAACTAGTGGGGGTCACGTGATCAGAAAGAGGCACCACCAGGCAAAGGGCGTGCAGGCAGAGCACGCCTCTTTTCAGAGTCTTTCCTTCTCAGCAGCTCCTGACTTGCAGGCCTGTGACTTGGTCTGCTAGGGAACTTTTACATCCACTACATTTTAAACTGGCATTCTGGGAATCAGGACACATCACTGGGGACTTGGGCTTGGGACCACTGTGTCCCAGGGAGTCTCTCCTGGGAAGGCTGACAGGCAGGAGCAGCATGTGCCTGTCCTCTGGGTGCCCTGTCCTGGTGACTCTACAGCCTGTCCTTAAGTTGCCCCACTTCAGACCTCCCCTGTCCCAGGTCCTACAGGAGGGACATGGCCAGCAGGGCTCTATTTCCTAGGTGACTATGTGGGCAGATTCAGAAGCCAGTTAGGTTTTGGAGCTGACTCAATCTGCCCACTGTGATGCCTCTCAGAAGAGAGCTGTCTGGGGCTGCCCCACACCCATGGGACTCACACACTGGGGTCCAAAGGGACCCATCTTCCAGCCTTTCATTCCAAGTTCAGGCACTGGGATAGGACAGAGAGCAGAGCTCTGGCTCCCCCATAGTCCACAGCACCCCACTCCTGGTAAAAGGCTCTGGCTGCCTCCTGGCAGGATCATCCTCCACCAAGGATTCTGGCAGTGAGTGCTTAGAGATGGAATGTGTTGAGGACCTTGCCCAGGTGGCTTCCCACCTGTAGCCATGATCACGGGCACTCGGTGGTCTCAGCACAGGGTAGTGGGAGTCCATGGCTGTGTCGCCAGTGTAGACTTTGCAGGCCTGGTAGACAGGATGTAGACTTTTGTATGGGGCAGTCAGCAGGGGACAGGGTCAGCCATTAGTAAAACTGCTGCTGGAGCCTCTGGTACAAGCAGCAGGTGAGAACCATCCCGCAGATCTGCCAGGTGGAGAGAGCAGAAGAGAGAGGCACATGAGAATCCCAGGGCTGAGAGCCAGAGCTACCGCTCTCAGGAGAGCTGGGACCCAGCCCATTCAGAAGGACTGGGGTGGGGCCTGCATTTCTCACAGGATCCTAGGGAATACTGGTATGTGGCAAAGCAAGCTAAGAACTGCTTTCCCAGGAATGGGCTTGAATCACTGGCGCCTTGTTACAGCGCAGATTTCAGTCCTATGGGCCTGGGTTGGGGTCCCAGTGGCTGCTATCATCTCAGGCATATCCCGCCTCCACAGTTGGTGCTATTGGCCTGTGGGCCTAGATCTTCTCTACAGACAGTTCCATTTAATGGGTTCCTGGGTGGTGATGTTTCCACTCAGCCATCAGAGCTGTCTTGAAGCACGTTTTTCTCTAGGAACACACCCTGCTTCCTGCTGCCCTCAGACTCCAGAGTCAAACCAAGCTCCACTGGGACTCTGGGAGGAACATCTGATGACCTTGTTTAACTAAGAGCTCAGGATGTGGATTCAGGCTCTGGTGTCCTTCCTGTCAATACCCCATCAGATCCACTTGCTGAATGAGAGGGGCTTACAGCATCCCACTTGTCCAAAGCCCCTTTAGGCTTGGGAAAAATTACTCCCTACTGGGATCTTACAGTTCCAGTACACAGAGGATCTTTATTCTCCACCCCACCCCACCATGCTCTTCAGCTCTCCCCCCTCTGCAGCTCCTCTTCTTTCTCTTTCCCACCCAAGGATCCTTTGAGGATGAGGAGATGGGGATGTGTTGGACCAAGGCGCCCTATGCCTGGCATCCTGCTCCTGACAGTCACAATGACATTTGCTCCATCTAGACTCTGTGTGCAGGACAGGAGCTCTGTGCTGAGCAGAACCCACAACTGTCATCCACATGCAGGAATATCCTATCTTTCCTTGACTTCTGCAGACCTGACCTCGGCAGTATAGGCTTGGATGCCCACAGAACTTCAGCCAGAGTAGGAACAAGCCCATGAGGATGAGCACAGCCCAAGGCAGCTGCCTGTCCTTGTCAGGTTAGCTTCAAGGGGTCATGAAGGCTCATCTCTTTTACTCTCCCCAAACCCCACTGCTTTGGGCCCAATGGGGTGGACAGCCAAGGTTGAAAATGCTTTTGACTTTAGCCTCAGTGCTAAGAGTGCTGCTAATCCATCTCGGGGACTTAGGCTCACAAACCCAAAGGCGGCTTAAGAGGTTATCTCACCTCCACCAGCTTTAAGCAGGCACTGCCATGGCCATCCATGGACATGCACCCAGGGGTCGTGCAGTATGCTTCTGTCCCTGTCTCATGGTTGGATGGTTTTCTTATGGGTTATCTGGGTCTTTCTGATGCACACAAAGGAAGCAGACGGGAGGGACCTGTTGGGCAGACCTGTAGTTCCACCAGTTGTGTCCATCTCTCCTTAGCATGCAGCTCACTTTGGGGGCCTGGAAGGAGCTGAATGCCCTGATGTGCATGCCTTATATGAGCTGGGTGTCTAGGATAGGCACAGCAAAGGTTTGTGGGGGCACACTGTCATCTACGTGTCCATGCATACACCCACATGCCCACACACCCCACCCTGAATGGTGCAGAGGGATAAAAGGATGCACTCACTAACATGTGCATGGTGGGTCAGTGCTCGCACCCCCCCTACCCCATGCACAAACCCTGCATGTACAGAGGGTAAAGGCCAGCAGCCCACTGGGTCCCAAGTGAGTATCTGTGTCCCTTTTGGCAGAGAACACAGAGAAGGCAGTATGGATGGTCTGAACACATACCATGGATGAAAGGAGATGACACAGGACAAGTTCCTGGACAGGCTGAACATGGTAGAGGGCAGCCAGTCTCCTGGCTCTGGGCTCCTGGCTCTGGCCCTACTTGCAGGGTGCATAGCACTTCCTCACTTGGCCATGCATGGGACATTTCTAACAAGGAGGTTGCAGGGCCCTTGGCTTCTTACAAAGCTCCTCAGTCTGTGCCTGGCTGTCCTTGTACAGCATGAAGGGCCTGGGGTAGGGCTGCAGGAGGGAGTCCAAGAAGTCATTCCCAAGTGACCTTTCAGTGTATTTTCTAATGACCTACAAATTTAGCTGTCTAGTGAGTTTTCTGGATTCTCAAACACATTTGCATCCTCCCGAGTGACATGCTGGGGTGGTTCTATTTCAGTTGGGTACCAACAGACTGTGTGATCTTGGGGGTGGTTACGTCCTTCTCTGATCCTGTACTGATGAGGTTCTTCCCAAGCTAGGATGACAGGAAGCCGCAGCAGAGAACCCAGCCCCTCTCATATCTGGGGCTCTTTGGGGCCTTCAGGATAAAGTGCCCCAATTCCTGAGAGCCAGCCAGGACTTTCTGCATGCTGTTCCTTGCCCCCATTGTCTCTGGCCCCCACTTTCTGCCACTTCCTGTCAAATCCCTTCAATGATAAGTATCCATACTCTGGGAAGTCTCACAGACCTCAGGAATGGCTAAGGCCAGCTGCATTTTTCTCGTGCAAACCCAGGGCCCGGGCTGACACAGGCATGGTTGTAGGCTGATGGTTAAGTATTTATTGGCCTCCTTTCCAAAATGAAAGTCCCTACACCTGTCCACCATGGGCATAGCAAAGAACTTGCTACAAAGCTGACATACATCATGCCCTTGAGCCTTTTCTGCATGTTCCCTGGGTGGGAGGCTCCTCCTCTGTGTGTGTAGAGGGCGGCAAGAAAAGATCACTGGGCTACTGTAACCTTTTTAAGATTTTCTAGAGCTGGAATATTCTAGAAATTACCTCTAAGATTATACCAGAGTGAAATGCCACCCACAAGAGAAAAACCTAGTGGAGAAGAAAGAGGACAAGAGAGGGTCTTGGCTGGCTCTGCCATAGTGACTGTGTGACCTTCAGTGAGTGACTTTCCACCTTTGGGACTGATGTTCCCAGAGGTACATGAAGATGGGCCCAGCAGCCCTTCACTGGGAGGCTGTAAGAGCCCCCAGTGCACTGGCCTCATTTCAGATAACCTGAGCTAGCATCCAGGGAGCTGGCATCTAATACCACTGGGCACCCTATGGTGACAGCCCTGAGCTAGACAGTATGGGGAAATTCAGGCCCCAGTGGTCTTTCTGGTCTGACAGGACCCTCAGTGTGTGGAGTCACACAGTGAGACCATGGCAAGCCCCCAGTCACCGATGAGGGGTGCAAATGTGTGCCTAGGATCCTTACCAAAATCTCAGGACAGAAGAGGCAGGAGATTGCTAAGACATGGGCTCGCGCAGTGGATTTCACACTATATTGGAAACCACACATGAACCTCAGGGCCATGAGGGCAGCAAAGGTGTTCCTTACACTCAGCCACCTGCTTCAATCCTAAAAGCTCTGTCCTGTGTTTAACAGGCTGGGCTCCTATGTAGAGTCCCACTGATGTTGCTGATTTAAAAAAAAAAAAGACATTCAAAATTGCTCAGACTCTATTCTATAGGTAAGGAAACTAAGGGTTCAGAGAGGGAATGTGATCTCCCTGAGGACACAGAGCAAAAGGTGGAGTCAGGCCCTCTGACTCCCAAGCAAGATTTCCAACAGTTCCAGGGAACCAGGAGCTGGGGATACCATCAGACTGATATCCAGAGCCTTGGAGTTTGTTTTTTCTTTAAATTTAAAGATTAAAAAAAATTATGTCCAGGCATGGTGGCGCACACCTTTAACCCCAGCACTCAGGAGGCAGAGGCAGAGGCAGGTGGATCTCTGTGATTTCAAGGCCAGCCTGGTCTACATAGTGAGTTCCAGGACAGCTGGGGCTACAGGGAGACCCTGTCTCAAAAAGACCAAAAAAAAAAAAAATTATGTATATGAGTGTTTTACCTGCATGCATGTATGTATGTGCACCATGTGTGTGCAGTGCCCACGGAGGCCAGAAGAGGGCGTCAGATCCCCTGAAACTGGGATAGCTGCCTTGTGGGAACTGAACTCAGGTCTTCTGCAAGAGCAGCAAGTGCTCTTAACCACTGAGCCTTCTTTCCAGCCTCAGCCTTGAGAGCTTTTGAAGTGCCAGAGTGGGGTGCTTCCTTCTTTGTGTGTGTGTGTGTGTGTGTGTGTGTGTGTGTGTGTGTGTGTGTAGTGAAGGGCTGGTGTCTGCTGTGGCTCAGAAGACAATTACTCTTTAAGGGAAGAGATGGAGCTTGCACCCCCTTCCCAAGGCTCTTGCCCTGTCTAGAGAACTGGGCAGTTTAGTGCCTAGCTATGGCCAGCAGAGGGTGCTCTAACCGAAGCTTGGCAGCTGTTGGTCCCTGTTCAGTGGACCACAAGGAAGAAACCTGGGCAAAGGGGTGAGAGGCAGAGCCACAGTAGGGAGAGGTGTGATGGGCCTGCAAGGACATTGCCCAGTGACCTGGCCCCCTGACATTAGACTTAACATAGCAGCACTGGCCCACCTTGACTGCTCTGAGTGTGCAGTCCTGTGCCCAGCCCTGAGGTTCACTACCTTTGGCCTTTAAAGCTTGCACTACCTCTACAAACAAAGGCCAGCAAGAAATGAATAGAGGTGGACCAGGCCTGGTCAGTGCTCCCCCTAGAGCAGGCCCCTCAATATCTGGCATGGTGGGTTTCTGGAAACCTCAGTGATCCAGGAGCTGGAGTGATGATCCCAGCGGCAGCTCCTCTGGGTTCAACCCAGGGGATGGAGGCCTCTCTTGAGGAATACAAGAGGGGCTTATGGTGCCCCCTAGTGGTGATCAGGCCAGGGACCCACTGGGGAGTTTTCCGAATGAGGAAATCCCCTTGTAGAAATAATGACAATGAGCATTATTTATACACCACCTGTATCTACTTGGCAGTGAGCTCCATGATTTGCATGCATGACCAACCACAGAGGCTCAGAGATAAAAAACAAAAACACTTGGCCCTAGGTCATATGATCCAGCTCCTCAGTGGCAGAACCAAGAAGGCTTTCCTTTGAGAGACTGGAGATTCTCTTCCCAGAATGTGAGGCAGCAGGTGGCCCTCAAGGCCCACTGGGAAGGGGTGGCATGTGGTCTGGAGATTGCCCATATCAGGAGTCTCCCCAAACCAGATGCCACCAGTTTTCTATGTGTTTCCTTTCCATGGGGTGGGGTGGGGGCAATGCATTTGGGAAAGTCAAGGACCAAAGCCAGGAATCCTGACTGTTAGTTCAGGGTGTAAGATCCGTGTATAATCTCTTTGGATCTCGGCTTTCTGATCTTCGAAGTTGGGACAGCACTCTGCCCACCTGGCTTGGATCTAGGATGAGGATCCATTGGGAGAAAGAATCTGAAAATACCCTGAGACCACAGAGAACCAGATAAAGTCAGCGCCCACCTACCTACAGAGGCCTGTGTGTGCACCAGGTGTGGTACGTGGGTCACATGCAGTCATGTGCATCCATGACTTTTATTTAGGCTGTGTGCGGACGAGGAAACAAGTTTCATTTTGTAGATGAAGAAGCTGAGGGACAAGGTAAGTGGGGGCTCAAGGTTACACAGAGACAGAGCCAGGCTGGGAACCAGTGAATGTACAGCCTCTGCCCTTCCTGGTCCTGCTTACAGCTGGAGTGGGAGCTGCAGGGCAGGCCTGCAGAATGCCTATCTCCTTCTAGAAGGCAGCCTCTACATTGCTCCCACCATGAGAAGGAATATATGATGTTGGGACCACAGGGACTCTGCAATCTGTGCCCACCAAGGCCCTAAAGACTCCCTCCAGGCTCCTCTTCTTGGGATTCTTGATCTGAGTGACATGGATTTCCCGGATGGAGGTTGCTGTGGGAGGGGCAGAATGAAGATTGCCCATCCTCAGAGAGACTGGGTGAAACCACATGAACACACATGGAATGCAGGCAGGTACATGCACACATGCACACATATGTGCATAAGCAACCTAAACACACACTCTGGACCATGTACACACAAATGCATGCAGGCAGTCATAGATGTTCACATACCCAGCAGGCTGTCCTGTACACACAGAGCACACGCCATACAAGTTGTTCAAGGGTCTCTAGGGGGAAAGAGACTGATCATGTGGTTCATCTTTGTTTGCCAAGGGAAGGGGAGAGGAGAGGGTAGGGCAGGGTAGGGTGGGGCACATATGTGCAAAGGCCTAGTTACTTTTTCCCAGTCGGAGACCTCGGTCAAGGTGAGAAGGGTTCTGGGTGCTTCCTCACAGCCCCATTGCATCCACTGTTCCACTTACCTGCAGGCAGGCCACCCCAATGCCCACTGCTCCCATAAGTAGCAGGTGATCGGCCAGGAACTGCTCTAGCTTGGCCATGCAGCCTCCCTGTAAGGTAGCAGCAGTGTGTTACTCCAGTTTTTGCCCAGCGGTGGGCAGGGTAGGGAGGAACAGGTGGCTGTCGTCCTGCCTGTGGGCTAAGGCTGAGGGACAGCAGGGACTAAAGGGCCTGGACCAGCCTTGGAATTTTTTCTGGACATCTTGAGAGCCTCAGAAGCAGGCCATGGTGTCTGAGGTCTCCAGAATTTTCAGGCTCTCAGAGCTCTATCAGACTCTTGAGGTCCCCAGGCTCTGTGATCTCAAGCTGAGGAGTATATTTTGCTTTCCCATACCCATTTGCTGGGCCTTCCCAGAGTCCTTCCCACCCCCTAGACAGCTCAGTGCTCACCTCCACCTTGTAGATATTGGAAGGATGGACCCGTTGGCCGCAGTGCGCGACCACTGTCTTGCAGCAGCTGTCAGGCACCTGGCGGCCTTCAGCCTCCTGAGATAAGATGTATGCACTGTGTTGCCAGTCAGCAGAGCTGTTGCTGCCACAGCACTTGAACTGAGGGGAGAAGAGAAGGCTGGGGTGAGAGGGGCCTGTGCGGCTGTCTAGACCCTGGGATCCAGGGCCTTGGGTCATGCTATTCAGGTTTTAACGTCGCCCCTATCTTTTCCCTGTGACTTCCCCTTCTGTTTGGAGCAGGACAGGGTCCCTCTGGGTTCTTTCTCCACAGGAGAAAGAAAGCTACTTATGCCAGATATTCTAGGGCCAGGGGTCATCTGTGAGACTGGAGGGAGGATAGATATGGGGGTCCCAAGATAGTGAGGCTGTGTACCACTGGGGAGCAGAGCCAGCACCCAGGGCAGGGGAAAACCACAAGGAGAGATCTGATCATCCAAGAGCCAGAACATGGGAACAAGCACCTAGCCTTGCCAGAGTTCCAGAATCCCCATCTGGGATCATGGAGAGTATCCTGGAGTCCATACACAGCACAGGCAGGCCAGCATGGACCATAGAGGCCAGTATAAGTGCTGAGTACAACTCAGCTGGTCTGCACCTTCAAGCCAGAACTGCTGGACCACATTCAAGGTGACGCAAAATATGGATATTGGTTGCTTCTTCCCTGTGAGTCAGGACACTGAGTCCTAAGTCCCTGCACAGGCTATCATTTGGGTTGTCTGTCTCTCGTGTGTGGCTGCAGTGACATTTAGTTCAAATGTTAGGCTCCTACTACATCCCAGGAGTGAGGCTGGAGACCGGGCTCTTAGCTTATCGTTCTCTGTTCTTGAGTAGGAGTGATGACAGAAGCCTGAGAGGGACACAGAGGAGGAAGGGGAATGGTCTGTTTGGGGTCACAAAAGCCTACAAGAATGAACAGGGGGCCTGGCGCTCCCATTATATAACAGTGCACACTTAACACATGCACAGCATAATGGAACACCCAGAGGATACACACCATATAACAGCACAGATTGCGCACACAATGTAACTACAAGCAGAGCATGTGTACCACACAGCAGTAGGAGCAGAATATACACACGACATAACAGTGCACCCAAAGTACACACATGTCTTAACAGTGGAAGAGCATGTGCACAACACATGCACACACACAGCACACACAGAATGTGACAGCACGCACAGAGCAATGACTGGCTTGGCAGTTATACTGTGTGTGTGTGTGTGTGTGTGTGTGTGTGCATGCGCGCTGGTGCCCCCACAGTGGAGGACTGATAGGGTGATGCTCAGACAGCATTTAAAAAGCATCTATGGAACCAGCAGCAACTGAGGTGTAACTGTCACCATCTTCACTGTGTGAGGAGTGGCCCATGTGTACACGTGCATCATTTAAATACATGTAGCACAACTGGAGGGCCCTGATGTGGCCCCGGCTCAGATCTACCACTATCTCAAGCTCAGTCCTTTCTCTGTGGTTGCTGGTTGGAGCACTAACTGTCTTGGCTCATAAGAGGCCCATGTTACATGTACGGATGCCCATGGAGGTCCCAGTCAACTACAAGTTTCACTCTAAGCCATGTTTCCTGCTTGTGTCCACCATGAGCTGTCGCTCCCACCTTCCAGCTAGTCTCGCCCTGGCTCGCTCCTGGCTACCACCCCCCACGTCTCTGGTTTCCTTCTCTGAGGTGCCCCGACGGCACTGGCTGGTGTCATCCTTGTTCCCTTAGTGAGACTCTCTAGGCAGGAGTCCTGTCCTGCTCTTTGCTCACACAGGTCAGGATCCAGAAGGTTCATGCTGCTTGTGACAGGGTGACCAGCTGTGTGGGCTGCCCGCCCCATCCTGAGCTCCTGGGCTAAGCATGTGGGGCATGGCTGTGTGTGTCATGGAAGCCTGTACGTACATAGATGCCCTGGTCACTTTTGCAGGGATCTGCCATATCTTATTGGAAATAAGACACCTCTATCTGTCCTCCGTGTGCTGCCTGATGGCCCACAACCAGAAAATTATTTGTTAGACCACAGAGGTCTATTTTAGAGCATTCTGCTGGGGTCTCAGCACCCATCTTTTTGAGGAAAGATTAAGGCAGTTTAATAACAGAATGAGCTGAGAACAGCTTCTTGCCCCAGGGGACCCCAAACTGGAAGGCGGCAGGGATGTGGTTTGGAGAGGGTGGAAGATGGGGACGGGGAGGAGCCAGGATTCATAGAGCACCTTATATGGTGGCAAGGGACACATCTAGAGGCAATCACCATCACTGCTGTCCCTTCACCATAAGTCTCATGTTAGGGAAGCTCAGAGAGGGTGAGTAACTTTTCCAGGGTCACACAGACTGGGAAGGACAGAGGAAGGATGTGAACCTTACATCCTGTTGCAGCCGGTCCACTGAGGCTGTGATCTTCACAGCCCTGGGCTGCCCATAACTCTTGGTCAAGGTGCCATTCAGGTGTTGCTTCAGCTCGTCACTCAGCTGAGGAGGGAGAGTGTGAAGAGACATCATCAGACCCCCATCTTTCTCTAGGACCCAGGTGGCTCCAAAAGCCAGGACACCGTGATGCCTCGAACAGTGTCACTGGCTGACATGAGGGTGTGAGCAGAGCTGGAGAGGGACTGAGGAGGACACGGCTCATTCTGTGTCACACCAGAACTGTTTCCAATTTGCTGTGGGTTTGAACTTTGATCACAAGGTGAGGTTCAAAATGTGGACAGTCATGACTTGTGGGCACTGCGTGGACACCCCCTTCAAGTGACTTACATGCTTGGGCCGTACTGTCTCTACCACCTTGCTCCTGTCCTCAAACTATTTTTTGTCTTTTTGAGACAGGGTCTTCCTGTAGACCTAGCTGGCCTGAAACTCACTATGTAGACCAGGCTGGCCTCTATCTCCCAGAGATCCACCTGCCTCTGCCTCCCGAGTGCTGAGATTAAAGGCATGCACCACCACACTTGGCCTGTGGTCAAATCTTGAATCCAGAGGCCAACAGAATGGGAGGGGACAGGTCCCCCGACCCATGTCCAGTTGGGGCAAAGAGAGCCTGCTCTGGCCTTCATAACCTGTCATTTGATCTTTTTTGATCCCTTCTCCATGGTAGATCCCTAGTTTAGGGATCCTTGGAAAACAACGAGGAGCTGGCCTCCCCTGAGAAACTGCAATTCCAGCTCCCACATGGAACCCAGTAGCACCAACAGAGGTAGAGGGATCTACTGGATCGGGTACTGGGATGCAGAGAATTGCTAGTCTGTGAAGCGGGACCACCGGTGGAGACATCTGTCCCAGTCCCGCAGACAATGTGAGCCAGCTGGGATCTAGTTGTGGCTCCCCCCTCCCCCCAGGTCCCAGCACTGACAGAGAACACAGGAGCAGGACCTTGTATTTACCTTCTGATAGTACACATGTGCCAGGACCCCTGCCACCAGCTCCACAAGGAAGATGACCAGCAACAAGCAGAAATACTAGGAGTAAGGAGAAGAGATGATTACCCCTGGGAACAGGGCTCTCCCGTAACAAAGGTCTCTGCAAAAAAAATGGGGGTGGCAGGGATACTTGCCAGGACTCCCTTCAGCCCCCACCTAGATATGGCAACCCACACTGGCTGCCACCCTGAGTTCCCCACTTGCCCCTCTGCTCACTAGTCTATGGCAGCCAGGAATCTACCTACCCAACTAGTGGTGAGTTAATACTGACTGGATGCCAGGCGGCATGACTATGGCTCGGGGGGGGGGGCAATGTATATGTAATCACAGTGCTGTTACGAGTGCTCATACAGGGTGAGCCCTCCTAGAGGACAGTCAGAGCAGGCTTCGTGGAGGCACTAACACCTGAGGCACCTCTTTAAGCATGTGGAGCCATCTGCCAGGTGGAGAAGTAGAGAAACACATCCCAGGCAGGGGGAGAGCACCAGCCCAGTCTGGAGCCTTCAGGAAGTGCAGGATAATTGAGTTCAGGCCACTGTGAGTGTGCCCCGGTCACTGGAAAGGAGGGGCAGGCTGGGCAGCAGAACCAAGGCTTGAAGGAAGGCAAAGGTAGAAGTCTGTGGAAGGTGATTCGAATGCCATACTCCAGCCCCAATGCCTGATTCCTGTCCTTTATAGCTCTGCCAGATGTTCTTAGCTTTCCTGGACATTCCTGCCTCTCCCAGGCTTCTCAGTGCCAGCTCTGGGCCTCAGATGCCTGGTTGTACACCTCGATCCTGGCCCCCACCTGGCTGTGCGCTATCAGCAGTGCTCCTGAGATCTGCTCGCCCCCGATGTGTTCTTGCAGGAGCCAACAGGTCAGGCCCATGTGATCTGGGAATGGATGGGGTCAGGGACAGGGAGGGGAAGCAGGCCACAGGCAGCCAAAGAACAAGGCAGAGGGAGGAGAGAGAAGAGAAGAGAGGAGAGGAGAGGAGAGGAGAGGAGGGGGAGAGAGAGAGAGAGAGAGAGAGAGAGAGAGAGAGAGAGAGAGAGTGACTTACTAAGAACTCCTCCCTCTCCAGAGCCCATACCTACCACACCAGGCCAGTAGCTAATGTAAACTGGGGTCACAGGACAGAGGAGGCCACCTGTGGGTGCCATCTAAGATGCCAAGCTCACAAAGTAGAAAAAGGCATGCAGGTAGGAGGAGACGGCTGTCAGGGGCCCTCAGGAGGGCAGGATGGGGGCAGTGCTGGTCCACAGGCTTGTAGGCCTTGCTTGACCATGACCATGGGCTTGGATCACTCACTGTGGGGCCTGCATGGGCAGGGCTTGGAAACACAAGAAAAGTGGGCATTTCTTTTCACTCCTGGGGGAAAGATCCTGGGCACAGCTGCCCTTTAAGTTAGTGCCCCCCCATAATATTGTTATGCCCTTTTCTCTCAGTACTGTAGCTGGCAACCATCAGCCACTAGGGAAGGTTGCTAGTCTCTAAAGATGGGTCTGGCCTGCCCGTTACCTGTGGGGCCTGAGGTAGAGAGGACAAATGAGATTCCTGGTCACCCTTCCTTTTCTTCCGGGATCTACGTTGCCCTGGGAAAGGCCCTCCAGTCTGTACATCCAAGCTCTGTGTGCTCCTCCCTCAGGGCCATATACCTGGTTTGGGATTTAGGAGTGTGGGAGTGTATCTGCTCCTCTAAAGTATGTGCCATGGCCCCAGGACTCTTCACCCTGTTTGGTGAAGATGGTACCACCTGTTTGGGTTGATGGTACTGAATGGGATCCAGAATAAGCCTGCCAAGAGGGTCTGTGATGCCCCCATCTGCTCTCAGAAACAGGCCTGAAGACAAGAAGGCCTGTCAGCTGAGCCAATCCAGGTTCCTGTGTTCACTGGGACTGGCTGGGTATGGACTGGCTGGGTAGGAACTGTTCCTCATCACAAATTAGCAAAACACACTCCAAACACAGTAGAAAGCCTCAGCAAGAGCTGTGCAAGATGGATGCTATGGTCCTTGGATGTAGGATACAAGCTTTGGGGCTGTCATAGCTACTTTCTATTGCTGTAATAAAAACACCAACTAAGCCAACTTGGGGAGCAAAAACTTATTTTATCTTACATTTCCCAGGTCACAGTTCATCACTGAAGGAAGTCAGGGCAGGAGCTCAGAGCAGAAACCTAGAGGAAGACCTGAAGCAGAGACCATGGAGGAATACTCCTTACTGGCTTGCTCCCCTGGATTATGCTCAGCCTACTTTTTCACACAATCAAGGACCACCTGCCCAGGAGTGGCACCACTCACAACGGGCTGAACCCCTTTCACACAGCTCAATAATCAAGAAAATGTACCTCAGTCATGGCATGGCCATAGGTCAATCCAGGGGAGGAAATTCCTCAGTTACAGTTACAGTTCCCTCGACTCAGGTATGTCAAGTTGGTAAATGAAGCTACCCAGCACAGGGGCTGTCTATGGTATCCCTGACCATGAAGCTGGATTCTCACTTCATCATCAGTGCCAAGGATGGTATCACCTGTTCACCCTGAGTGGATGGAGGAGACTGGACTTCCCAGAACTCAGACCTTTCTCCCAGGAAACAGTCAAGGGTGGGTGTGAGGTACGTAGCACGTGTGGGCCATTGGCCAGGACCTATAGCTCAGATCAATGGAGTTGTCTGGCCTATCAGACAGTGTGGCTGTACTGTCACCCACTCAGGGTATTCCCCTATCACCTCACAGTCCTCAGAGCCCCCAAAGTTCCTCTCTTACACAGCTGTCCAGCCTGCTGGCTCCTGGTTGCCCTGGGCTCCTCTTACCCAGGCAGGGACAGCAGCCTTTGTCTTACCATACAGGACCCATGGGCAGGGACTACTGGCCAACCCAGGCCTCCTGGTGCATATTAGCATGTCCTCCGAGGCATCAAGAAGAGGTTATAGAGCACCCTCCCTGAACAGCAGGATTGAACTGCGGGCAGCTAGGAGGCCACGTTTCCCCCCTCCCCCCCTTTCACTACTATGAACTTGCTCATGGACACCAGTCCGGAGGACATGCCACATCATGCTGCTTCCCTGGGGGATATTATGGCATCTGTAGCTCTTCAAAACAGGAGCGGAAGAGGGAGAACAGGAGGAGAGAGACAGAACCACATCACATCCCTGGGGCTATTTGGAGGCATTTGATGAGCTGCGTGACATGGTGGGGTTGCTATTTAGAGGAAGGGCATCAGTGGTGTGTGGAAGACCCAGTGGAGCAAGCAGTGGTGCTCCAGCATGTGAAGGTACCCCAGAGGGAAGTGAGGCCTGGGCCTGGGCTCTGAGGCCAGGGTGTTTGCTGGTGACTGCAGGTGATGGCTCAAGTACCAGCTCTTGCTTCAAGAGGGCTGCAGGTGTGTGACTCACCTGGGTGGGGGAGGCCCTGAGTCACAACAGCTCCTGGTGACAGCTCTCAAGAGGTAGGCAAAGGGCTCTGTTTACTTCGTTCCTTTGGCTCAGAGGATCCTGCAGCCCTGTGTATGGAACTGGCTGGTCCTGAGCCCCAGCAGGTTGCCGGGTTTGTGACGCGAGGCCATGGGCTGTAATAAATGCCTTGGCCCTGCTGTCTACTCTTCACCTTACCCAGGTCTTCCAGAACCCTGGCATCATCATGTTAGGACCCTGCCTGTACAAGCTGCTCTCTGTACAAATCTGAGGACACAGTCCCCACACCAGGCCATCTGGCCAGCCCTCAAGCCTTTGCCCTCGCCAGTCTTCCTACTAGTGCTTAACCCGTCCCTTCTTTCCTCCAGTTTAGTCCTGGCTCTCCTACTCCAGCTTCTGTGGATTGCCACAGTATCACCTGCCTGAGAACCCCACAGCATCATCTTCCTGAAACCTGCCTGATCTAGCTCTATCTGCTTGGCCCTACCCTCTGAACTCGGTTGTTTCTGTGTCCTTGCCCTTGGTGGTCACACTGCTCCTCTGGTAGGCTGTCACTGGCTCAGTGACATAGCTGATCAATGACTCATGGCTGTCTGAGCTGCTTCTACTCCAAGTCTCAGTCCTGTCTCCCTGGAGTAACTGTGAATTCACGGGGACTGGAGCCATAGCTTGGACTGGCTCCGCAGTGCCTGGTAGGGTGTTTGGTCTAGATACATGTTTGGGCAACACCCCTGGGCTACGGAAGGAGCATAAGACACTAGGAGCTGGCTGGGGAGGACAGCCCCATGCTAGAGACAGCAGCTTAATCTTTTGTCTGGGGGGTGACGCAATTGCCACCTCAGTTCCAGTTACTTGGTTGTTCATTCAGACCAGCAAAATTTTGCCTCCTGGGGTCATTTGGCAACTTCTGGGGACATTTATTTTGTTGTCATAATTGGGAGAGAAGGTACTATGGACTCCCGGGAGGCAGAGGTAGGGTATGGCTGAACATCTTCGAGGCACAGGACAGTCCCTGCTGCAGAGACCTAACTGGCAGAAATGTTAGTAGTACCAAGGGTGGAAAAGCCAGAGAACACTTTCCTTCAGGTTCTCAGGTCGATGCTGGGACCTGATTCATATATGTGTCCCTAGGAACTATGGAACACACACACACACACACACACACACACACGACCTATGAAGTGTTATCCACATGCCAACAAGCCAGAAATGGAACACAGAATTATAAGCATAAGAGAATTTTTTATTCTGCCTGGCTGAGTGGACAGATCTGCACACAGTAGCTACTCAGCTTGACCCAAGCAAGGGTCAAGAGGCTGGAGCAGTGCCCTGGTGTTGTAAAACTACTTCCTCCAACTGAAGCACTCCCTCCAAAAGGGAGGCTCATAAGACCCAGGAGACTCAGAACTCACATCATCCACAGGTTATGTAAGCAGTCAACAATTGCTGGAGAAGAAGACTTTGGGGTGGAGCTGCCTGTAAGTTGTGGTACAGACTCTGAGTCTTCACCCCATGCTGGGCAGGCTTTTCAGGGATACAGCTGTGCTGTTGTCACCCACTCTCCTGTAAGTAACCCTAATAAACTCACTGGTTCACCAAGCTGGACTTGGGTGGAACCATTTCTTTGGTGAGTTGTTGGTACCCTA